TTCTCTATGGACCTGCTGGGTCAAAGTGCACCAAGATTTACACTGTAGCCATACCCAGAATGAATACTTAAACTCTGCTGTTTTTATTTTTCTCTTAGGAAAAGAATGTGGCGGAGTCTTCACAGATTCAAAACACGTTTTTAAGTCACCAGGCTACCCAAATGAATACGAAAATGAGCAAATTTGCTACTGGCATATTAGAGTAAAGTATGGCCAGCGTATTCACCTACAGTTTCTGGAGTTCGATGTTGAAGACGACACTGCTTGTATGGCTGATTTCTTGGAAATCTATGACAGCTACGATGATATCAATGGCTTTGTGGGCAGGTAAAGCAATTCCAGCTTTAATATGAAAATAATCAAATAATTTCATTCACAGAATCCCAGAATGTGAGGAGTTGGAAGGGACCTGGAAAGCTCCCCCAGTGCAACCCCTGCCAGAGCAGGAGCACCAGAGCAGTCACACAGGAACACGGCCAGGGCTTTGGGTGTCTCCACACAAGGAGACTCCACAACCTCTCTGGGCAGCCTGGGCCATGCTCCAGAACCCTCACACTCACAAAGTTTGGCCTCATCTTCAGCTTGAACCTCCTGTGCTCCAGCTTGGGACCATTGCCCCTTGTCCTGGCATTGGCCATCCCAGAGCAGAGCAGAGCCTGGCTCCTTCCTCCTGACACTGCCCTTTCCAAATTGATAAACATTTATTTCCCAGAACACTATTTCAGGAGAACACTGCATTGCCTTCTCCAATTAGCACCTCTGACCTCCATAATTCTTGGAGCAATGGTACCTGACTTATCTTTCCTGGCAATTTACTGTCATTAACACAGGCCCATAAAGAGATTCAGAGAATTGCGCTTTGCCCTTCTCTGCTTTGTTCAATTACATGAAAGGAACCTGCAATTTTTTCGTTAGCTTTTAATTCTCTGTTATTTTACAGGAAGAAGTCCTAGCAATCTCAGAGTATTTTGCATTTGCTTTAATTGGAAGGAGGGAGGTAGGGTGTTAAACTGTCACCAAATATGTATCTAATTTAAGTTACTAGTGAAATAATTTCTAACAACATCAGAACAGAGTAAGTGTTATATATCATCTATCTTATTACGTTTAGTTTCTCCTTGTTTAATTCTCACTTTATTTTCTCTGATGCCACATTTCTGCTCGTCCTTTAGCAGTCGTATTTCAGTATGAAGTACCTCCATTAGGGCTACAAAGATGATCAAGGGAGTGGAGCATCTCCCTTCTGAGGAGCGGCTGAGGGAGCTGGGGCTCTTTAGTTTGCAGAAGAGGAGACTGAGGGGAGACCTCATTCATGGTTATAAATATTTCAAGGGTGAGTGTCACGAGGATGGAGCCAGGCTCTTCTCGGTGACAAACAATGATAGGACAAGGGGTAACGGACACAAACTGGAACACAGGAGGTTCCACTGAAATTGGAGAAGAAACTTCTTCTCAGTGAGGGTGTCAGAGCCCTGGCCCAGGCTGCCCAGAGAGGTTGTGGAGTCTCCTTCTCTGCAGACATTCAAAACCCGCCTGGACGCCTTCCTGTGTAACCTCATCTGGGTGTTCCTGCTCCGGCAGGGGGATTGGACTGGATGAGCTTTTGAGGTCCCTTCCAATCCCCAACGTTCTGGGATTCTGTGATTCTGTGATTTTCCAGAACAAAAAATGAACCAGAAAAAGCGATCAAAACCACTTCCTGATTCCTGCTACTTTTCACATCCTCTCTGCAAATCACGTGTAGCAAAGCAAGGATATAGCCCATTTGTTTTGCCTTTACAGATAACTGCAAATGGCTTTTTTCTTCACAATATTCTGCCTTCCTTTGCCTTGGG